GCGCAAGCATTTAGTTTTCTAGTTAGAAACCAATGTCTAATGTAGGATCCGCTTAAGGACCTATTAGGGTTGTTATTCGAACTGAACGTTCGCGAACAAAGCTCGTTCGAGTTCGTTCGTGTTCGATAACAGCTCGTTTATTAAGTATTCGAACCGAATACGAACATAAAATTACGCTCGTTTAGTTATCGAACGAACACGAACATGTTCGCAAACTAAACGAGCATTCGCGAACAAAAAAAATATTTTATAATTTTATATATTATATATAGTATATACATGTATACTATAATATATAATATGAATATATATTAAATATTAAATTAAATTATAATATTTTATAATTTTATATATTATATATAGTATATACATATATAATATAATACATAAATATGAATATATATTAAATATTAAATAAAATAACTTATATGGCATTAAAAAAAAAGTTAATCAACACGAACACGAACATGTCGAACAATTCGAACACGAACTTGTCGAACAATTCGAACAGTTCACAAACAAGTTCGACTAGATAAACGAACAAACACAAACGTTTCGAACCAATAAACGAACGAACACGAACGAAATATTTTCTTCGTTTACTAAACGAACGAACACGAACATGTTCGAAAATTAATCGAACTCGAGCTCGAAATCCTTAAGCTCGGTTCGGTTCGGTTCGAAGCCCTAGGACCTACTAGTTAGAAAAATATCTAATGTCCAAATAGATAAATTTTTATGAGTTTATAGGTTAATGTATAACCCTGCAGCTCTTTTATTTGTAATAAGGATTAATTTGCTCATCTGATATAACAAAAAATTAGCATAACATTTACAGTATAACGACACTTAATTTAATGATTAATCAGGTGGTCACGTTTAATCAGTATGGGTAGGTGAAAAATCATAAATAATTTTCCTCTTTGGAACTAATAAACCAAAAATGAAATTAACTATAATAAGCTCGATAGTTTTGAAAGAGTATACCTAGCTACAACAGAAACCATCAATATATCCTATGAGAATTTCGAATGTTGGGATTTATTTGGAGAAAAGGCTAGTTCCACATGGCACTTTTGACCTTTTTTCTAAAAATTAATTTTCAATGGAAATAAAAACAGATGAGGTCTAGAAGATGTGATATTTAAAAAGGTGGACAATATATCCATTTCTAAAAATTAATTTTCAATGGAAATAATTGTGTTTTATTGTTTGTTTTTAGTTTACCAGTTTTCGTCGTGTAGTCGTCTCTTTAAATTCAGCTATTTGACTGCTTCAATCGACTATTACTAATTATTTTCAAGATTGTACATATGTATTTATATATGAAATATGTCGTTCTTAAAAAGAAAACATGGTTTTTGATTAATGTTTTCCCATAAAAAATGTTATTTTAATAAATTATTACTAAGCTATATATTTTACATTATCTTATATCCAACTTAAAAAAGTGCATTGAATTGTATCGAATCTAGTCTTTTATTTTTTTTCACATTATTAAATATGTTACATTTACAACTATATAAAATCAGACTCAAACTCAAAATATTGTGTATAGTTCACCAGTCACCAGACATTCTGGAATTTATTTTTAGTCAGCAGTCAATGTATTTTATTTCATTGGATAGTTTACCAGACACTCTTGAATTTGAATTTCTAATCAGTAGTCAATACGTATTTTTATTTCATTCCAATTTATACAGTCTAAACCCACTGTTTGTAGAAAAACACGCATCGTGCCATATTTTATTTTTTAAAACAAAAAGTTATTTTATTTTATTGTCTACGTGTCAGATGATGATGTCAGTGCTATGATTCAAGGAGACAATTCCGAACCAGAAAAAAATTGTCCTCTATATGAAGATAACGATGGTACAGTAAAGAGGTGGTGATATGGTGGGTGTACCAGACGCAGTAGATAAGGTACCCTCCTAAGCCATCTGATAAATGTCTTCACAGTAATAAAGTTGATGTCTCCATGAATTTACATTCAGTCACTCTCACTATTCTGATTTCTGCACGCTATAATGAATTCATCTTCAGGTCTTTCAGTTCAACTGCAGGCTACTGAGCTCCAACCAAATAAAACAAAACAGAATAATTTTTAAAAACTACGAATTGCGTAATACTTTTGAAATTATTCGTTTTAAGTCACAAGATATTGCCAAACAATACATTATTGAGAAAGAATTTAGTACAACGACACACTTAATCCGAACACCTTGTCTCCACATGTGAAAATATCAAAATGCTCGGGTCAAAAAAAGGGGAGAAAAAAAATCCACAGCGTTAAACTGGGCTGACCTCTGCAAACCCAAACTTCATGCATGAGAACCTTAAGCAGCCCAGTTAGCTTCACAACTCATAAGCCTGTTACAAAAGAAAAGGGCCCCGAGCACATTCAGGATACTAGACCAGAGATTTTTCGATTGAAACCAGAAATGGGAGATGGGAAGACCGCTTGTAAGCTAGCTGAAGCTTCCAAACGTGAAAAAAGTCAGTAATGCAAATTCAAATTCATGCATCTGCTCAGGTAAATGCCAATTTCCACCAATAAAGCATGATTGCAATGAACGTGTTTTAATCAATTTATACTGTACAATTAGGGTCCCTCATCACGAATTATGTCAGCAGATGATTACTTATTAAACAGTAGTTCCGAGATAAACGCGTACCAAAGGGATACACAGTTTCAAGGTAGCCACTTCGTTAAAGAAGTAAGGATTGGTAATAATATATAGTAAAATTTGGAGCCACAAGGTTCGAGAAGTTATGTGAATTTTAATTCAAAATCAGATTCTAAATGAGTCACATAGAATTCAAAGGGTTCAGTCACGGACATACACCGCAATGCGACACAAGCTTCAAGACGGATGGATCCCTAACAAACATTCTTTTAATATAATTCAGTACCTTTACAATTTGTGTTTTAGCTTTTGTTTAAGGCAATCCTTTTCGTCATAACCATCATCATAATAATAATCCATGACTGTAACAAGCAACAAAAAGAGACGCATTCAAGAATAACTAAATAAACTTAAACATATACAGGAACTTGGAAGTGAGGACAGAGCATGGAATAAATAATAGCATTTAGTAAAATGAATAGTATGAACTGAATAATCAAGAATAATCAATCTTAAGCAACTTGGTGTGTACTGAGTACTAATTTCATGGACCAGCTCAATCCTTAAAATCTTCATATCAGACAAGCCAATCTAACGTTCAATCAAATAATTGTCTGTTACTGATTGTATGTTCATTCGGTGCTCCAACAACTTAAACAAAAATTGAATATGAAGTAGTTTATCGGACATTCAACATTTGTAATAAATTCTTCATGCATATATCAGGCCAGGGTGGGTCAAATTCTTCTTGACCATTGTATGCAATTCAATCGGCATCAACAAATCCAAAGTTAAAATAATCTACATGATTTAAAATAATCTACATGTACTAATCATTCAACAACAGGTAATTATACTCATAAATTGGTCACACTGAACTATTCTCAGCTCTAGGACAAATATATCAGTTACTAATTTGAGGATCAATTGTCACTCACTGATTATATATTCATTTGGGACTCCAACAAATCCAAGAAAGGAGTATGAATTAGCTAACAAGACATTCAACATTTATCAATTGATCAAATTCTTCATACATAGATCAGGCCAGGCAGGAGTAACAATGCACATTGCATGCAATTCAATCGACATCAACAAATCCAAAGTTAAACTAATCTACATATACTAATAGTCCAGCAATATGCAAATATACACATAAATTTGCCACACTGTATTATTCTCAGCTCTTAGGTCAAAGATATCAGTTACTTATTCGAGGAGGAAAGCAAATTCGACACAATCCCAATCATCCTCCAATCAATTTTACACCAGCATGATTTGATATCACTCCATCTCATGATTCATGAATCCAGAAAGATCATTATATTGTAACTCAAAAATGTTCACATTTAACAACTCCTTTTAAGCTAATCCAGTATAAAATTTTCAAAAACCCATTTTTCCTCCAAACAGAACACATCAGATAAGCAAATGACAAGAAAGCACACCCGATGTTCATTTCTGGTATCCACCACCGATGGCGTTTTCATCCTCGACAACCTTTGCAGTCAGGTACGGCCTCGGGAAATCGCCCAGGTCGAAAGACTTCTCCTTCATCATCTTCTCCGTGTCGGCCTTCTTCAAGACGGTGCGCTTGATGGGGGGGCGGTTGCGGCGCTGATCGCGGGCGAAGTACTTAATGTCGTAGACCGTCTCCGGCAGCGACGTCGGCACGATGGCTTTGGCGGATGCGGTGGCGGGGCAGCAGACCCGGTACTCCGTCGCTTTCGGAATGGCGGAGAGGTACTCCGGGTGGGCGACTGGGCCGGTGATCTCCCATGGTTTCTTGATGTAGCGACGGAGGGTCTGGATTAGGGATTTCGCAGCGGCCGCCATTGATTGGGAATTGAGAATTGGGAATTTTCTTCAATGTGCACGAAAGGCAAGGCTGTTTCAGAGACTCGGTAGAAATCGGTTTAAGACGAAAGCGAAATCGCTATGCACTTAACTTGTAAAAACGCAATATAGCAGTAGGTTTAGCAAGCTAATAACATTTTCTTCTTCTAACTAGTACGAGTCTCGTGCAGTGCACGGGTAAGAGATATTCATTAATATTTATAGTTAAAAATTCTTATTAAATTTTACCAAAAAAAAAGTTCTTATTAAATAACATTTATAAATTAAAAATATGGAATCCATATGTAATACAATTTACTTATATTAATTTATTGAAAGTATTATATAAAGTTTAAATTGTGCAAAATTACATAAAAATATCTATTTAAAATTAGTATACAACCCGTGTGGTGCACATAACTGATAATAAATTACATTATATTCGTTTCAAAATAAGTACCATTTCAAAATTTTTATTCAGAAAATCGATTTGACTATATGTGATTCCATAAAATAGTTATTTTGGTAAAATGTTATCATATATTTAACAGTCTATGTGAGTAATAAGTATAAATATAAAATTTATATTGTTTCATTACTTCAAATAATTTATTACTGTATAAACTATTAAAATAAAAAAAAAAAAATTAAGTAGTTGAGTAATTTATTAAATTATAAATAATTGACTATTTCATTTACGTCCAAGTTAATATTGACCCGTAAGTTATATAATTGACTATTTCGTTTACGTCCAAGTAAATATTGACCCGTAAGTTATGAATAATTATTTTTTATTTCTAAATTTAAATAAAAATCTTTTTATTTTTTTGTAATATATTATATACTAAATTTAAACCATGTAACTAATAAAGGTAATAGCTGCAAGTTTTGTCAATATATTATATTTCAAATTTAAATCATGCAACTAATAAAGGCAATAGCCGCAATATCTAACCAAAATGATTTTGTACATTAATTTAGGCGGAATTTTTTGAAATTTTGGCAAAAAATATTACATAAATAGTTTAGGCGGGAAACCAAATGTTATTTTACCTCTTTTTAATAAAAAGAAATTTAGATTAAATTAAGTTTATACGTGTGGAGTGAAAAACAATAAACTTAAGTAAAAAGATCTCTATATGATTTGTATAATGGTGAACCGTTGGCTTTTTATTTATATGTATATAAAAAGATGTACATTCTAAATAATTAAGTTTAGTTATCGCGAAGTCCTCTTCATCGTTTTTAGGGTAGATTTATTATATTTATATGGATAATATATCCAGCATAATTGTATTTTTAAAGATAATAAATCGATGAAAACATAATATGGAATATATATCTTTATCATTAGTCTCGACCAATTTGATTACTTTATCTGTTTAACTTTGAAATGAACTCTTTACAATGTATTTGTTTTTTTAATTATTATTTAAGTTGTATATATTGCATAACTATATGTTAAAAAAATAATATTTTTCTATTGAAATATGCGATTTATATATATGTATATAAAAACTTATAAATTAATTTTTCGTTAAAGATTAAATTTTGTATTTTTATTTTTATTATAGCATTCCCATTTAAATTTTTTTTACCATGATTAGTGTAAAAAGTATAACAAAATAATTGTCACGTGTAAAAAGATTAATAAAAAAAAGAAGGTTTTCATGATAATGGATTTGTATATATCTAAATCATTTTCTCCTGCAATACCGCAACATCCGTCCGCAGAAACGTGTTCATAAGAGAAGAATTAACTCAAAAACTGAATTTAACCAAATAAATTACAAACTCAATTCCTTTTTTCACGGCTAATTATCTTAAACAATTACTCATTTGATGGATGATACTATAATTTAAACTCGTCTTGGTTATCTAAAAAACAGGAAATAAAAAACAGATCGGTAGACATATGAAAATGTGGTTTGTAGATAGGTGAGTTTAGTCAAACAAAATCTTTATATATATATATATATATGTATCTATACAAAGGAAATTCAAATCCCAAAAAACCTGAAAACGTGCATGCATGGAATAAAAACAATTCAAATACCTGCATGAAAAAAAATTCAAATTAAACTTTAGGGGGGAAAAACAGCTATTAAGCGGGACATTGAAATATTTTTTCAAAATTTTTCCAAATCCCAAAAAACCTGAAAACGTGCATGCATGGAATAAAAACAATTCAAATACCTGCATGAAATAATTTCAAATTAAACTTTAGGGGGAAAAAAACAGCTTTTAAGCGGGAAATTGAAATATTTTTTCAAACATTTTTTCTTCTCTGTATTTTATAATAATAGATTTACATTAACTCTTTTTCTCCTAATTAAATTAGGCCTAATTGCCTATTAAACCCCCAATCTTTTATATAATTGTAAATAAAACTCAAGCGTTTTAGCTTTGCAAATAAATACCAAATATTTATCATATGTTGAAAATTTGTCTTCAAATTATTTTTCGGTTAAGTCGAGTTGACATGTCTGATCAGAAATCTTATGTGGCACTGATGAAGCTTGCGTGCCAGAATAATTTTTCCACATCATCCTCCAAGTCGGGTGGCAATAAAACTTAGATTCTAATTCCCCTAAATAAAACTCCAAAATTCAATGACCCTAAATTTGAATTCATTCATAATTGAAAACCTAAAAATACAAAATATAATTAGAATTTACCCATTCTCCACTGACGAAAGTCACGAAACCTCCAAGCCACTCTTTTCTATATTTCACAGGACTCTAAAATCGCCTCTCCACGCCCAAAAATCGCCCCCTCTACCCAATTTTTAAGAATTGGGGGGTTAGCTCGGTATTCGAAATGTTGGAGGTGGACTCGATTTTTTTGAGTGAAGAATCGCGTCATGGAGAATAATCGCTTCAGTTTTTATTATTATTTTTTTCAATAGGGGATGAATTTGTAAATGAAGAATGGAGCAACAACATGGTAAACTTGGTTTTTTGTTGGGGGTGAACTCGATTTTGGTTAATTTGTTGGCATATGATGTGGCAAAAATATGGTGACAAGTTTAAAAGGTTGAGTGCCACACAAGCCTCATTAAGTGCCGTGTAAGATTTCTGATCGGATACGTCAACAAGGATTGGCCGGAAAACGGGTTTAAGACAAATTTGCAACATATAATAAATATTTGATATTTATTTACAAAGATAAAAAGGTTGATTTTTATTTGCAATTATACAAAAAGTAAAGATTTTATAGGCAATTAACCCATTAAATTATCTCAAACTAGTAATAGCAATGCGACAATGTGATTAAAAAGAAAAAAAAAAGTTGATGAGTGAATATAGATTAATTGAGAAATATTATTTTAAAATATTTTTATTGTTAGTCTTTTACTTTTATTTTTATGATGATATATAATAGTTTAAAATATAATTTATATAAAATGCATATCGTTCTAAATTTTTTAATTTAAAATTATTTAATTATTTAATAATACTCTGAACTAATTTTTTTTATTTATTTTTTATTAATAATTTATTACCATAATTTTATTTTTCATTCTTAATGTTAAAGTTAAAATTTTTTATAATATCTTTAAAATAAAATATAGTTTGTAAATAAAATAAAATCTCTATAATGACAATAATTTGAAATTGATGGGCATGAATTGTATACATTATTTTTTTTATATAACTAATATTTTTATAATGAAAAACTCAATATCATATTTTTAATAAATACCCAACCATTATATATGTATATATAAATTAGAAAACAATATATATATATGTATATATATTAAACGCTTACCAATTGAAATTTTTGGAAGATGACGGAAAATCATATATTGAACAATACACAATTATAAATATTTGCACTGAAAATAATTTAATTATTAGTTAAGTAAAACAAAAATTATGAAAAAAAATAGTCTTATTAATTTCTTGTACTAATTGTCATATAAAATGAATGAAATTGTTAGTCTTTTTCTCTTTTATTTTTTTTACATTAAAAAATAAAAAAAATATTATGAAAATAAATAATTAGTCTTTCAATTTTCTTGAAACAACAAAAAATAAAAAAAGAAACTATTGATAATTCAAAATTTACAGCTACGAGAGTTTAAATATTATATAATTCGAAATGGTACGATTTGATTTTAACTTTAAAAAAAAAATTAATCTATTTAAAAATAGTTAGTAAATCAAATAAATTAATAAAAAAGTCAATTTTACTTTAGATTTTTCCAACAATGCTTAATATTTATCATATGCTTTTATTTTTGAATTGCATTTAAGATTTGGTGGAAATTGGTTATTTATGTTTCTTGGTAAAGTAAATTGGGAAACAGTCGCAATAAATTATAATATTAATTAAAATACATTAATGTTAATTAACCGATTATAAAAAAAAAATAAAATTGAAGTTTAAATTTTATTTTTTAATATTGAATAAAAAAAATGCATTGTATTCTTATTAAAATGTTGTGTGCTTATGTTTGATACTAGGTTACAATAGGTTGTTCTAAATCCTATCGTACATCATTCCTAATCAATTCTTGATATTATTTTAACTCATGATACTAGTTTTATTATATTCGTAATAAGAATGCTTATCATTTANGTTCTAAAAGTCGCTAGGCGCTCGACCAGCGCCTAGCGCCTAAGGCGCCTAGTCGGGGCCTAAGCGGCACCTAGCTGGGGCCCAGAAATCAATATTAAATATATTATTTTTTATTTATTTTAATTACCTACAAAATAAAACTATCTCAACTTATAATAAATTCACTCACCAAAGTTCAAATAATGGTATTAATATATATTAAATAAAACATGAGAACAAAATAATATAATTAATATTTAAAAAAATAAAAAAAAAATATAAAAAAAAAAACTGAAAAATTGCCGCCGAGCCCGCCTACGCCCGCCTAGACGCCGCCTAACCGCCTGGCCGCCGAGCCCGCCTAGGAGCGCCTAGGGCCGCCAAGTCCCGCCTAGGCGCCGCCTAGCCGTCCGACTGATTTTTTATGCCGATTTGTACAAATCGGAGGCGTCCGGGCACCGCCTAGACTGATTTTTGGAACAATGCTAAAAAGAAGGGATAAAGTACATCTCTCGGCTATGAAGAAAACTTGCATTGCTCCTTTATACCTTGTTGTCGAAGCGACAGGCTAAAGAAAAGTTATGACCACTGCCCTAGACGGCCTAGCCAAAGCTGCAGCACAAAACTACATAAAGGAAAGCAATACAACTCTAACTAAAACAGAACACCAAGCCACAAAATAACAAGCTAGAAAATGAAACCCAAAAGAGAAGAGGACGACTACCACAATTACTGTACAAATCAGGACCCCATAGTCCAAGAAACATAACCCTAGCAATACCCCAACCAGAAGCATACCAGATTTAAAATATTGTTAAAATAATTAATTTGATATTTTGTTTATAAAATAATAATAATAACAATAATAATAATAATAATAATAAGTTAATAAGTTTTAAATATATTTGTCATTTAGATTGAACCAGTGTTTATAATTTCAAAATTCTATGAAAATTGAAAAGTCAAGATTTATAAGAAGTACAACTAAAATAAATAGTTAATACCCATAATAATAAAGCATAAAAAATTTATACATGTGAATTTGAACTCTGAAGTTGAAATTTATATTAAAAATTTTTAAAATCTCAAATAAATTNATTCATCATCACTTAGAATCTAAAAAAAAACTGAATCCCAAATAAACACATATCTTATAATTCAGTCTAATTAAGCTACAACCCAGCTTATGAAGAACGGAAGCTTCATTTACTCACTCCATAAAATCACTGTTAACCTGTTCAAATTCTTCTCTCTCTATCTCAAAAACTCTCGCCAGCCCCTTTCTCTCTCTGCAACTCCACATTCAAATTCAATTGATCTCTCACTCTGTCGCTCTCCCCCTCATTTCGAAGTAAAGCCGAGCTAATCAGGTATACTTTGAGCTCTTTCCTTGCTCGATCTGCTTTTTTTGCTCTCCATATTTGTTCTTTTGTGATGACGCCGTCAGTGATGTAAGCTTTGTCCGTCTCTCGATTGACCGATAACGCGAGCTTAAGTGAATCAAAGGATACAGTGATTTTCATTTTATGTGTTGTTGTTGTGTTTTCGGATTCCGCTGTTGCCTGTTAGTTTCCTTGATTCCTGTCACCGTTCGATCTACTGGTGGGATTGAATGGCTGTTAACTGGTCACTTTACGCTAATTAGGTTTTGAGTTTTATGCAAATGTGACTGACTTAGAGACTCCCATTCAAGGGGGTGAGAGGGGTTTCCCGTAGTCTGATGCAGAAACTAAGAGATTAGGGTTTTGAGGAAATCTGTTTTAGTTGTTAAGTCGATAATGAGTAATAGATGACGATAAATTGATAATGCGTGGGTCATGATGGTTGGGTTTATGGTTATTGCAGAGGGCAATAAAGGTGGTAGCTTTCATTTTTTGTATCTGAAAAGGAGTTTAACTGAGATTGTGTTCTTACATTAGGTTTGTTAGCTCTCAACAGGAATGGCAACAGAAGCAGCAAATCCTCCGCCACCTCCCAGTGCTCAAGTTGTCGGGAATGCATTTGTTGATCAGTATTACCACATCCTTCACCACTCTCCTGAGTTGGTCCACCGATTTTACCAGGATGTAAGTGTGTTGAGCCGTCCAGACCCTAGTGGCCACATGATGACCGTGACAACTATGAAAGTAAGTTTACTAGAACTGCAGTTCTTCTCGTCCTCAAATTTGTTTTGTTTCCAAATTCTTATCTCTTTTTTTCCAATTTGCTGATATGGTGCAATAATCTTTGGAAGTGATTGTTCATAGGCTTTAAGTATGTTCACTGGAACGAGCTTGTGTTATGCTATTTTACTTTACGAGTAAGATAGACATTACAATGAATGGATCTTTTGATAGAAAGACAACCATATACTTGCATTGGCAGTTAGGCATGCAGAAAGCTTTTGTTCAACCGTTTCTGTTTACTTGAGCTTGTTGGAATTGTAATAATCAGATAAATTCAGGTTAAATTATCAACTTGGAGGCTGATAACCTACGAAGCTTACTGCTGCAACTTTGAAAAGTGTTTAAAATTTGTACCCAAAAGAAGATGGCTGGAAATGTCATATAGTTGTAATGGACCAAGAGTATTGCTCTGACTGTTTGTGTATGAGTTAGAATATTTTGATTGGCATATATATGAAATTGAAATGGGTGGTTTCATTTGCCCTGTAAGAGATGTCAGGGCCACTTGGGGATTTGTTGGAGACTGAGACATTGTTTTGTTCACTTATCTCCTAGGCAAGGACAGTGAAAACTGAATATATTAATATGGTATTGCCCAATGTGACTGTTCTCATTCTCGTCTTGCTATTTTTTTTATTCAGTTTAGGCAGTTCATTTACATATTTCCAGATTCTGGTTTGAATTTTATGCAGTAATGAGTGACATTAACTATCTCTGTTTTCTTATTCTACCAGAGTATAAACGAAACTATATGTTCCTTGGATTACAAAAAATACAAGGCGGAGATAAAGACTGCTGATGCACAAGATTCTTATAAAGATGGGGTGGTGGTGCAAGTAACTGGGTGCTTGACCGGACCCGACGACTTGAAAAAGAAATTCACACAGACTTTTTTCCTTGCTCCTCAGGACAAAGGGTACTACGTCTTAAATGATATTCTTCGTTATGTACAAGAGACTGAACCAGAAATCAGCATGGGGACAGTTACAGGAGTTCAGTTAACACCATCTCGTTCTGCTACCCAAGATCCAGGTACATAATGTCATTATTTTTTCGTAGAACATCTATGTTTTTAAGAATTCTTTATTTTCTTTCTCCGTTTCTCTTTCCAGAACCAGTTCAAGTGGTTGGTTCCCCAAAAGTGGACCATGAAAATTCTCAAGTGGAGGAAACTGAAATAATTGAGGCAAAAAACAGTGACCAAGTGATTGAAGAGAGAGAAGCTGGTGATAATCATACTGACATCTTGATAGAAGCCGACTCCCATATTAATGGGAATCATGTGACTGAGGTTGCAGATGCAGTTACTTCTTCATCTCAGGAGGATACTCCAAAGAAGTCGTATGCGTCAATTGTTAGCTCACAGACAAAGAAGGGTCCAACCAAAATCTATGTTCCTACAAACATAGCTAAATTAGCTCAGGCCAAAACTGAGCAACCAATCAACCCAGACACAAAGGAATCACGCCGTGAATCAACTTCTGATATTCGACCTGATGATGTACCTGAAAGTAAAGATGTCCAGGATGAAGGTATTTTGCGTAACAGCTATTTCCCTTACTTATATGTGTATGTGCAAGCACCACAAACTTCTATGTTTCTGATAAGGAAGATGATTGTTAATTTTTTTGTATAAAGAAAAAAAGCCGCAGAGCATTTGACAAGATGTGATGATAGTTGAATATTTGCAAATTCTTTGAGCTACGCTTCTATTCTGATTATTTTTTCTTCGCCTATATCTCACAGTTCAGGGTTACTCCATATACATCCGCAATTTGCCTCTACATTTTACAGTCACACAGCTTCAAGCTGAATTTCAGAAATTTGGGACTATTAAGCCGAATGGGGTTCAAGTCAGAAATAACTGGGTTGGTTTTAGTGCAACTTGTCTTAGTATTTTGTTCTACTTGCTGAATTCTGTGTTGATTTTTGGATCATTACCTCTTTTCTTCTCAGGAACAACGATTCTGTTTCGGGTTTGTTGAATTTCAAGAATTTAGCGCCATGCAAAAGGCCATTCAGGTTTCCAGCCTTTAACTTCTGCTTCTTTCCTTTCCATTAGTTCTTTTAAATTGGAGTCAGATATAGTGGGTGTCCTCCTTGAACTTGCACCTCAAACGTTCACAATTTTGAGCAATTCAATATTTAAGACACCTGTGGTGCTATAGTTCTAAATTGGCATGTGATTAATCTGGCCTTTTTCCTTATTAGAAACGGAAGCGTAGTCAATTTCTGTATTATATGTCCGGATTCAGTATGAATCTGCCCTGTCAAATTTTTCTATGCCTGACCACCGAGTTCTGAGTTCTGACCAGCCTGATGTAGATTTCCTCATGTAACCGTTTTTTCCTTTGATTCACTTCAGGAATCTCCAATAACTATTGGAGACCGTCAAGCTACAGTCGAGATAAAGAGAACCACTACTCGAGGTGAGGCCCTGACATTTTAACTTCTCACCAAAAACTTAATTCATGATATATGTACTCGTGAACTTATATCTCGAGCGTTTATTTGTTTTTTTTATATGCCTGTCATTATTGCTCTACAGTTGGCGGTGGGAGGGGTCGGTTTACTTCTTCACGTGGAGGATTTCGTAATGAAAACTTCAGAGGCCGGGGTAACTTCAGTGGTCGGGTTTACGGGAGAAATGGAGACTTTAGGGGTCGTGGTAACTTTAATGATGGAGTCAGTGGAGAAGGTGGTTACCAACAAGGCAGAGAAAGGGGTTATCGTCGTTCGAGCCCGAACCAGAATTCTTCTTCGACCTGAAAATGGGGAGGTGTTGTTCGTGAGCTGCGGGGGTTCAATTTTGACAGAGGTATTTATTGCTGGACACATCTACTCGATCCTGTTCGGTTATCAATCAATCTTTCGGAGATTTAAGCCGAGGGTTTGCCTTGCATTTAGTGTAGTACGAGTTGGTTATTGATTCCTAACATTTTTTTTTTTTTTTTGAGT